TTGGGAAGCAAAAGAGTATCTTTAATTTTTTTTGGGTCCATTTTATTAAAGTAATTTTAACTAAATGCCAGAAGAAAAAGTTGATAATAATCCATCACCTGCGGAAATCAGGAGTTTTTTAGTTAGGTAGTTAATAAAATCCTTTTTCGGCCTTTATATGTGGACTAAACTAGAAATAAGGGCAAAAATGTCCTCAATTCACACCAAAGAGACAGGAATGAACTCCAGAAAAAGGAGAGTTAAAAACAGAAAGGCCCGGGAATAAATTCCAACAAGAAATTTATGGTAAAATCTAAAAAATAGATGGCAAATCAGCAAAACACTCATTTAAAAAAGTTTGATGCCGAATAAAATTTGCTTCCCTACCTATTCACCTGGCGGTAGTTATTTATTGGCTAATTGGTGAATCAGACACCAACCAAATCATGTAGATAGCCAATTTCAGGCTTGAAGAAGTTATGGTTTGATTAGTAACCTCTTGGAGGAACTTGGATTTGGGCTTGATATCTTTGCTGATTACTATCACTTGAAACCACTAAAATGGACTTTTGCATTTCTAATTTTGCTAATTCTTCCTTGGCTAGACGAATTTTTTCTAACTCTTGGCCATCTAACTTTTTTTTAGCCAAAATTTGCTGCCGAAGTTGCGTTTGTCTTTCAAATAAATAGTTGCAAGTATCTTGATGAGTGTCTGAATAAATGATTAACGATTGTAATTTTAAAAATTCCTCTAGATCATCAGTCTTCTCAGAAACCTTTATATTAAGTTTATTTTTTTTTAATTTATCCTTTGCAGAGTCAAGTAAGTGATTAAAGTATTCTCATTTTTCTTTTATATCTACTTCTAACTTCCTTATTAAATCACTCTTAAACGTCTCGCTTAGAAATTCTAATTGCAAGTCTCACACTTCTTTTTTTTTAATTAAAACTGCATTAATTTCTGCCTCTTCTAATTTCTCAGTAAGTTTTGCTTTAGATCTTTTTAATTGTTTTTGAGCGAGAGGATTAGCGCTGTCCTTGTTTAACTCTTCTTGAGATTCAATTAAGTCATCAATTTCACCTTGATACTTAATGTTTAACTTATCCTTCAGATTAGCAACTAGTTCATCCAGCTCATTTTCTTGTTTTTTTAATCAATAATTTTTCAAATTTACTAATTGTTCTTTTGATTGTTTAACTGTTCTTTCAAGAGACATGTTTTTGTTTTCCAAAGAAGATATATAAGTTTGCATTTGTCCGACTACCGATTGATGGCTTAGTGAAGCATTTGTGAGTTCATTCTCTTTTTTTCTTAAGGCTTTTTCTAAGCCATACACCTGACTATTTTTGGTTTCTAAATCTTTTTCCAGTCTTTGCAATTTACTCCCCTGTTCCTTCAAATGTCTTTCCAAACCTTCTTTATCTTTATTAAGAAAATAAACATTGTTATATTCCTGGTTTAACTTCTCTTCAGACTCGTTTCTAGCCTTAATCAGTTCTTCTAATCTTCTATTTAGGTCTTCTTTTTCACCTCTTAATTTGCTATTAGTCTTTTTTTTGGCAGATAATTTATCAACTATTTCTTGATTTTGCTCTTGTAAATCCTGAATATTTTTTTGTGTTCCTTCCCACTCGCCTAGGGTTATGTTAGGACGACTATCTCTCTCCTTCTCAAGAGAATCATTCTTTTTTTTCAATTCATCAATCTGTTCCAATAATTTTTCAGTGAGATCTTCAAGTTCTTTTTTATTTCTAAGTAACTCATCCTGAGAAAAGTGAATTTCAACATTTTTATCTATAAATTTCAAGTTAGTTATGGGGTTATTATCACAACGGATTACCTGCAGGTTAGGACAATTACTCGCCTCTAATTTAGTTATTCTATTACCTGATAAATCAATCTCTTTTAAGCCAACAAAATCTACCAAACTTAAAGGACCTTCTAGATTCTTGCCTCTAATGGCCTCTAAAGAGTCAATTTTAAATTTGGGATTAGTTGCTACTCTGGATGGATTATATGTTCTTCTGCCACCAACTGAAATGGTATATTGTGATGATTCTTGATTTGAAAATCGTTGTTTTAAGTAGTTAACCAACCATTGCTGGGCATTTCCTGTTGAGTTATCATATTCACTTCTTTTTTGAGGATCAGAAAGAATTTCACAGGCTTCTTTAATTTTTTTAAACATTTCATCGGCTTCCTTCCTAGTTTTAGCAGGGGAATTTCCACGGTCAAAACTATCAGGATGCCATTTTAAACTCAGCCTTTTGTAAGCATCTCTAATTTCCCCTAACGTAGCATTTTTGTTTATTTCTAGTATTTCATATAATGTAGTCATAATTATTCTAATTTTTATTTTTGTTCAATATGTGCTGTTAATCCTGGTTCCTGTTGCTGTTGAGCAATTTGTGCATGCTTTAATTCTATGTTCTTAATCCGAATTTTCTCATGTAATCGACCAACTTTTTTTTCCAAACAAGCAATTTCTTTTTCAATTATTTGCACCTCACTTTCTAATTGCTGCCTAGTAGCAACATTCTTTACTTTATGAAACACACCTTTTAATGTGCTACTTTTTTTAAATTTATCTATCTCTTCCTCAATCAAGGATGATTTTCTTTCCTTGAGTTGTTTTAAAATTTCCTTTAATTCTTTTTCTTTTTTATTTAGAGAATCCAACTGTTTCTGAATCACTTCTTTTGGTTGAATCACCTCCATTTTCGCTTGCTGAACCAAATGAAAATTAGCATTTCTTCACCTCTTCAGATTTTCAAGATAATTAGAAAGTTCCGGCGAATTTATTTCTTCCTCTTTAACCTTTAATAGAATTATCTCTTCAACTAAATTTTCTGCAGCAACAAATGTTCGCTCCTGAGGAGGAACAGTTTTTAAAATTTCTTCAATCTTACTCACTCTAGTTGGAGTATTATACGAGGTACAATAAAATTCTTCCAAACTTTCCGGTAAGTACTCTAAACCACGATCAATGTCCGTCGCCTCAATATTTAAGAATTTTAATCCAGTCATATTTTTTAAAGATTTTAGTGAGCCACAAAAGCGGTTATAATTTCCTCTTTTTATCTCTGTCTGACCATTGCTGCTACTAATATCAAGCGATTCCAAATTAACAAAGGGAGTTAATTCAGACAAATCACAACGTAAAAAAATGTTATTTTGTAAACCAAGATGGGTTAATTTTTGCTCGTCGAGTTCATAAAAATCAAAACTAACTAAACGATTATTAGAGCAATTTAGTTTGGTGAGTTCTGGACAATTACTTATAGTTAAATTAGCAAGTTGGTTGCCAGAACAATAGACCTCGGTAAGACTAGGACAATTGCTTATATTTAATTGAGTAAGTTGATTTTTATCGCAGCATAAATACTCAAGTCGTGGGTGATCACCAAGCTCCAATTTATTAATCCTTTGTCCCGTACAATCCAACACTACCAGATCCTTGAAATCTGCCAGAACCAAAGGACCTTTTAGAAGATTTTCTTCTCCTGTTTCAGAAGAACTAATATCTAATTCAATAACATTAATTCTTCCTTCTTTTGGGTAGTTTTGGTCTAATCATTCTTGTATTTTCATTTCAGCAGGTTTTGAAGAAGAATCTTTAATCAAAGGTAAAAAAACTTCCTTCCCAATCCGCTGTTGAGCTCGATCCCTTCTTCAAGGTGGCAAATAATAGTACTTTCTACCTGTAAGTTTAATTTCACGTAAATATTTTTCTAATTCCTCTCGAATCCTTTCGCATCCAGCCTTATCTCCCTGAGCATTATCACAATAAATTTTTTCTAAACTTTCTGGCAAAAATTCCGACCCCTCACTAATATCAGTGTTAGAAATGTCCAACTCTTCTAATTTGACCAAGTCCTTCAAAGGCTCTAAGGAGCCAGTAAAATGGTTATAAATGCCTTTTCGGATTTTGTTTGGCTCAGTAGTGCCCAAATGTAACTTTCTCAAATTAACAAAATCGCTAAAACAAGTCAAATTTTGATTATCTAACAAGTCATTGTTACTTATTCTTAAATCAATCAGTTTTTCTTTATTAGCAAAAGAGTCCCAATCTAATCTAGTTATTAAATTATTTGAACAGTCAAATTTTTTAAGATTGCTAAAACCCTCTAAACTTAATGGACCCTTTAACTGTCTTCCTAAACCCTTATTGCTAATATCCAGTTCTTCAATATTAATTCTTTTGTCTCTTGGATATTTTTTATCCAATCATTCTTGTGCTTTTAATTTCATTTTCTTTTTAATTATTACAGTCTATTTTTTTCCAATCACCCCACCAACCAAGTCAAATTATACCTAACTAGGAGTGATTATTACAAAAAGTTATTCTAGTTAGATATCTCCTTATTTTCTGACCATAGGCAATTATTTTTTTAGTTAATTATATTATTTAAAGTTAATAGGAATTTTTAACTTATATTTATAATTTTATACATTTTGTCAGCCAAGTTACAAGTTTTTTAATTTAATATAATAAAGTAACAATTAGCATGAGAAAAAGGCTGAAGGAGAAAGATGCTTTGCTACCAGAACACAGCAAAAATAAAGAAAATTTGCACAAGGAAAGGGAAAAATAAAATCAGATTTAACAGTTAACAATAAAGGTAAAAAAAAATCCAACAACAAAAAAATGCTCTCTTTTTGAAAATAAGTCAAAAAAAGCAAAAAAATCTCTCCTCCCTGTAAAATTTTTTTGTAAAAGTCTTTTAAAATTAACCATCTTCGAGAATTGTCGATTACCATTTTGTTGAATATTCAAAGCAACCAATAGGCTATTTGGCAGGCAAGGGGCATTTTGACGATACTACTAATTATCGAACAAATAAAATTTCCATTTTGACCTCTTGCTAGATTTATCTCAGTTAAAATTATGCTTATATGAGCGAAGGTGTCCTTAAACAAAATTTTTCTAGCAGTTCAAAGAAGAGATTTGAGTTTTATTTCCATGATAAAGAAGTAATCTTTGAGCTCGACCAGTTAGCCAGCAAAAGTGATAAGTCAATAATTTGTCGTTATGGCAACACTACTGTTCTGACCGTTCTAACGATTAAAGAATTGACAAAAAGCGTTAACTCCTTTTTTCCTTTAACCATCACTTTTGAAGAGAAATTTTATTCAGTAGGAAGGATTCCTAATGTTTTTACGAAGCGGGAAGGCAAACCTAGTTATGATGCCATTACAGCCGCTCGGCTAATTGACCGCTCGCTGCGGAGTTTTTTTCCTTTTCCAAGTAGTCAGGAAGTCCAAATATCTAACTCAGTTCTTTCCTTCGACCAAGACTGCGACCCCCGAATAGTTAGTATTTGAAACTCTTTTCTAGTTTGCTACCTTTGTCCTAATTTACCTTTTTTTTCTACCCCATTAGCGGCAGTAATTGTTGGCCAAGAAGAGCAAAAATTTACTTGTAATCCCAGTAATGAAAAATTAGATAATTCTCCCTTGGAATTAATTGTCAGTGCGACGGAAGAAAAAATTACTATGTTAGAGGCTGGAGCCCAAGAAATAAGAGAAGGAGAATTAGAACAGGCCATTTCCTTCGCCCACCAGGAAATTCAGTTACTAATTGGCTTTTTTCAGCATATTGCCAACAATTTAGGGGTTAAAAAGAAGAAAGTAGAGACTAAACCAATTACCAATGATAAATGATTAGAGGAAAAAGGAAATTCTTATTTAGGCCAAATTCTTTTGACACCAAATCTTACTTGAATAGAAAAGGAGAAAAAAATGAAAGAAGTTCGGCAAGAATTAACTAAGGAATATTATGCGGAAAATCCCCAACTTGAGGAAGAATTTGTGAAAGATTTGGTGGAGGAATTTTGAGATGCTTGTTTACGAAACTGAATGCGGAAACTTTGAAAAGAAAAACAAGTGCGACTAGATGGCCGAGGAGCCGACCAAATTCGTCCCTTGGAAATCCAAATTGACTATTTGCCAAACGTTCACGGTAGTGCGGTGTTTGCGCGCGGAGAAACCAAAGTTCTCTCCGTAATAACTATTGGTAAAATCAGTGAAAAGCAATTAGTTGATAGCATTTTTAATCGCTCCTACAAGCATTTTATCCACCATTACAATTTTCCTTCCTTTGCGGTTAATGAAATTGCTAGTTATCGGGCAGTTTCTCGACGCGAAATCGGCCACGGCGAATTAGTGGAAAAAACTTTTGACCACCTCATTCCTCCTCCTAATTCCTTTCCTTACACGGTTCGAGCAGTTTCTGAAGTTCTTTCTTCGGATGGTTCTTCCTCTCAGGCTTCGATTTGTGCCACTTCTTTATCCCTCATGGCAGCGGGAGTCCCACTAATTAGGCCAGCCACCGGAATCGCCCTGGGCCTGTTTGAAGGCCAGATTTATAGCGATATTAACGGCTTAGAGGATAAGTTAGGGGAAATGGACTTTAAAATTGCGGGTACCGAAAAAGGTATTTGTTCCGTGCAATTAGACGTCAAAAATCAGGGAATTAGCCAGGAATTAATAAAAACTAGTTTGGCGAAGGCTCGCCAAGCCCGAATCTATTTGTTAGAGGAGATGAAAAAGCATATTTATCACCCGCGCCCTAATTTGCCAATCCAAGTTATTAAGTGTCGTCGTTTTGTGGTAGAAAAAGAAAAAATAGGCTTAATTATTGGCCCCCGAGGAAAAACCATTAATCAATTGACCGAGGAAACTGGTTCAACTATCGAAGTTCAGCCAGACGGTTTTATCCTTATTTATCACCAAGAGGAAGATAAATTAGAACAAACTTACCGAGCAATTAAAGAGATAATTAAAGGCGGTTTTTAAAATAGTAGGTTTAGGATTGACATGCAGAGACAACGGGATTACCGGGAAAGATAAGAAGTTAAAAGCGAGAAAATTTATATTTAAAAATAAAAAAAAGATGCTAGCGAGAAATAATTTTACTAAAATTACTTTAATATGGTAAAATGGTAAACTGAAAAGACATAGACATAAATTTTACAGAAGAATTACAAGAGGAGTGAGAAAGTAAAGGATTTAGTTGTGAGGAGACTAAAGAATGGACAGACATTGGATTAACTGTTAATGATGCCGAATATGCTTACTGGCTAAAAGATATTAAAAAATTTGATAGTGATTGAGTCCACAATTATGGTAATGATGAGGAATTAAGAAAGCAATATCAAGAATATTCAATTTCAAGATGACGTAGTAAGAAATTCACTGATGAGGAAATAAAGGCCTGAAAAAAAGTTGGTCTCAGACCACAAGATGGCGGTTATGCGGCTTGAATGAGAGATATTACTAAGATAACTCCTGAGGAATACCTTTATTGTTTAGAGGGAGATAGTGATAGACTATTAAGAGAACAACACCAGAAGTTTTTGGAAGAGAGGAAAGTCAGGTCAACTTCCCAAAGCGGAAGTAACTACCTAGCAAGGGAATCCTTAGCGACAAGAAACCTTGGGGCAAACGCTCAAGAATGACTGGACAATGAGTATCCAAAAGAAGAAAGAAACAAAATTAAAGAATTAGATATTAGTAAAGAAATTACAGGTGAAACATTAGAAGGCTCTTTGAAGTTAGAAGGATTTGTCAACTTGAGAAAATTGGATTGTAGTGATCAAATGTTAACAAATCTGGATTTAACTTCTTGCTCTAATTTGCAAGAATTAGACTGCTCCTCTTGTCAATTAACTGAATTGGATCTGCATAAGTGTCCAAATTTAGAAGAATTATATTGTTCATTTAACGAGTTATCTAAATTAAAAGTTGGCTGTTGTCCTAATCTAAGAGAATTAGTATGTGATGGTAATAAGTTTAGTGAACTAAATCTAAGAAAAAATAAAAGAATAAAAAAGATTGCTTGTCGCTTCAATTCATCCTTGATTGGAGCAAACCTAAGTAATTGTAGAGAACTAAAAGAATTTCTTTGCGTTGGAACTTCTCTAATTATTGTTGACCTCGCTAATTGTGATAAGTTAGAAAAATTTAGTTGTTTTTTTAGTCCGCTCCCTAATTTGAATTTTTTTAATGGATTGCCTTTTCCCGAAAATTTAAAGATAATTGAGTTGAATAATTCTGGATTTTCGCCGCAAGATTTGTCTTGTTTTGCCAAATTTATTAATTTAGAAGAATTGTCGATCAGCAACAATCATTTTCGTGGGTCGCTTGAGCATTTGAGTAATTTGACTAAATTAAAAAGTCTTAATATCTCAAATACTGATATTGATTCTGGTTTAGAATATTTGCCAGAAAACTTAGAAGAAATATATTGTAATAATTGTCAAGGGCTAATCGACCAATTAGGTGATTGCAAAAAGGATTCATCGGGGCGTTATCATTACCAAGATTGAAGAAAAGACCATCCAGAGTTAATCAAAAAGGCTCAAGCAGAAAAAGAATCTTTGCTCAGTTTAGGAGTTTTATCAATTGCTTCCACCAAAGATCAAACTTTACAGCAAAAGAACACCCTTAAGCCTTCTCTAGAAAGACTAATTGGAAGAGGTGGTTATGGTGAAGTCTACTACGGTAAATGAAAACTGCAAGATGTGGCAGTTAAAAAACTATACTTATCGCTCCCTAATACTTCTGAATTTGACATTAAAGATATTAAAGAGGAAATTAATATTCTTAAAAACCTGCGAAACAAACATATTATCCAGTATTATGACACTTATTCTGATGACCAAGAACTCCTTATTATCATGGACTATGCCGAAAATGGCACTTTAACTAAGTTTATCAATGATAACAAGGACGAGGAACATAATTGAGATCTTAACAATGAATTTATTCAACAAATGACGCTTGGACTAGCCTATATTCATCACCAAGGCATTATCCATCGGGATTTAAAAAGTATGAATATTTTGCTTGATAAACATTTTCAAATAAAAATATCTGATTTTGGGCTATCAAAAACTAAGAATATTAGTTCTTCTTATTCAAAACATGGTGACATAGTAGGCACTTTAAGGTGAATGGCTCCAGAATTACTTAGCAATCCTAACAATTCGGGATATTCTGAGCAATCAGATATCTATGCCTTAGGTATGATTATTTGAGAAATTGCTGCTAAGTGTACAATTCCTTTTAAAGATATTGGCTATAACCTAATAGGTTTTCACATCATTAACAACGGAAAAGAAACCATACCCGCTGACACTCCTCAAAATATTCAATATCTCATTCAACAGTGCTGATTAGTTAATCCCCCAGCAAGAATAGCCTTAGAAAAAATACTGTTAATAATTAAAAACAATGACCAGCCAGATAATCATAAATCTACTGGTTTAACTAAAGAGTTTAAACGCAAAGTATCTCTTTCGGCAGAAAATTTTGCTAGCAAAAAAAGCAAACTAGCAAACCAAACTAAACCAATGGACTGTGATCAAGAGTGAGTTAATATCCATCCTAGTTTTACTTTGCAGTTGGTCCAGTCTTGACAAAATCAAGGTTTTAGTTATTCGGAAGTTTACGATTGAATTAGAATTAGTTCCCCTACTAACCAAGCCCAAGCTATCCGAGAGCCTGAATTCTACACTTGACTGCGAGATATTAAGCAAGTTGATTCTGATTGAGTGTACAATTATGGTAATCTAACCCAATTAAAGCAAGAATACCAAACTTATCAGCAGCAAGCACAAATAGAAATTCTTCCTAAACAATAATAATAATAATAATAATAATAATAATAATAAAAAATTCTACATTACATGGATTATACTACTGTTATTTTTAAAATTATTACTCCAATCATAATCCTATGCTTCTTAGTCTACTTCCTCTTCCCACTTTATTTTCTTTGCCAAAGAAAAAAATTTATAGTTTGGGCAGAAGAACAATATGCAGTACTCATTAGCAATAATTCTGACAAAGCCTCATTAATTCTGACTATTCTTAGCAACGATATAAAAATAGACAAACTAAGTGGTTTGCTAGACAATGAAAAAGTCTTTGACATCAATTCTGGAAAAGAAGAAAATATTATTGACATCTTTAACCGACCCTACTCAATGCCCAAATACTTATTTTTGCGTGATGAAAGTGCTAACCACAAAAAAGAAGTGAAAGGCTTAATAATTAGCGAATACTATCGTTACCTTGAAGATCTTGAAAATAGACCTAAAACTCCCCTTTTTCTTGTCACCAGTTATAAAGGGACACTTTGGAAGGAAATAAAGTTGGCAACAGAAATTCCTTTTATTAAGGTGCTTGGCTTAAAGAAATTTTGATGAAAAAAAGACTATTACTATTTGAAGATAATTATTTGAACAGAGGATAAGCATAATCCACACAACAAAGAAATTATAGATAGATTTAGTATATTAGTAAGACCTAATGATATAACAACATGAAAAAAACACTTGAGGGAGAGTGAAATTGTGAAAAGTAAGGAAAAACAAAGTTAGCAAAAAAATAAAGCAGGATAGAGAAATTAATACCTAGAATTAAGAATAAGTTTAATTCCTCACTTTTTCTCCATTTCGATTAATGCTTTCATTCTTTCATTATGCTTGGCTGACTTATTCTCTTTAATATCTTTTTGTATTTCTTTCTCCAAATTGTCTTCTACTTCACGAGATTTCTTTCTTAATTCATCAAGTTTTGAAGAAAAAAAAGAACCGGCTTTGATTGATTTAACACCTAAAGGAACGGCAAAAATAAAATCGTCTCCTTCGAAATCTCTTCTAAGTCTTGCTATCTCTTCTTCGGCAGGAATACAGGAACTTCTTAGTATTAATCGTGGAGGAAGATTAATCCTTTCTCTACTAATTTCATCTTTGATAAAAACAAGCAAATCTACTGATTTTTCAAGTTCTGTCAGATCTGGTTTACCTTCAGGATTATTCAAAATAATTTGATAATCATTGGGGTCAGTAAGTTGTTTTATTTCCTTTTTGTATCCATAGCCTAAGTCTATTTCTACTGAAATTCATTCGACTTCTCCTTTTGAATTAAGTTCTTCTTTTAGAAAGTCAGCCGGAAGGTAATAAAACTTTCCTTCATGGAGTTCCCGAACGACGACTGCTTTTCCTCTTTCTGATAAATTTTTTGAAACTCTAGATCACTTAGAGTAATCTAAATAAGGATTATCAGATAAATAAAATTGGTGAGTATAGTTAGTAAGGCCGACCTTTAGCCATTGCTGCTTAAAAGGACTATTATCTATACTGGCTAACTCTTTTTCAATGTTTTCTTTATTGAAACCATATAGATAAACTTCAATTGTATATTCATTATTGCTTTTACTAATAATAGAGATATCATTTCTCGTTGACATATAATAACTTTTTTGCCAATGACTGCAAAAAAATAACCAAACCACACTTCCTTCTGAGCAAAAATTAATAA